GTATGATTAATAATTTATTATTTTCATACGCCTCGTTTTTATCTCTGCTTAAGCTTTCTTTGAATTTTCTTCTTTTTAACGAAATTTGTTTTTTTTTTATTTTTTACGCTTGACTTTGTTAATGATATTGTTTTCTTGAACATTTTATGGAAAAAAAATTAAAATTTTTTCCATTCATTGTTAAGTAAAAATTCTCCATTTTCTCCACATTATTATGCGTTTTTCTAAATGATTTCTTTTTTAAATTGTTTGTAAGTATATGTTGCTTTCGTTTTTATTGTTTTTTCTAGCTGGCATTTATATTTAGTCATATTACGTTCTTTTGTTTTTTTTTTTTTTCTACGAAATTTATCCACTGTTATCTGTCTTTGTCAAGTACTTAACGTCAAGTACTTGTTGTATTGTCTGCTCATTGTTTGTTTATAGTAGTAGGGCATTTGTCATTGAGCAAATGCCCTACATTAAGCCCTGCAATTACATATAAGTGAATATATCATATGTCCTGTATGTATTCTCTTTTAGCTTTAGCTAAAGTCGTTTATGTCTAACCATACTTATGTTTTTAACTTCTTCTTATACATAATTCTATATAAAAATGAATTGTTGTCCTTCATTGTCATATGCTTCTCATGCTAAAGCTTTCAGCCATTATTTCTTGTACTACTTCCCTTTCCTCCCCCTGCTTCTGCTTATGCTCTTTCCTTTCAGTTTGTTACTTGCCTTGACTGGTGCTGATGAGGACTCTGTTGATGAATTTGTTTGTTACCATGACCTTTGTTAAGGCTTTGTGTTTTTTATAATTTTTTCTTTTTTTTTTTTTGCTGTATTTATATTTATTTTCTGCTCTTGTCTGTAACGCTTAAGGGTGAAGTGTTTTTTTTTTATACATTTTATATTATTTACAGCATTGTCTACCTATTGTGGATAAATTCTGTTTATTTAACAGATACAGTTTGAAAAAATAAAAGCAAATACAATAACAATTGAAAAAATCCATTTCAAGTGTTTTAAATGCATTTCATAGTTAAATAAACAAAAACTGAAAACAATTATTTAAATAGAAATTTAATAATATTTAATGAGAAATTCAATTTTAGAATATTTTGTTATGAAGAAAAATATCAACAGAAAAGGTTCTCAATTTAGAAAACATTGCTTAGCCCCTTTCTACAATTATCGGAAAACAAGCAAACTAATATTCGAGAAATCTGTCTGTAGAAAAAATATCTTTTTATAGAGAATTCTCGATAAGTTCAATATTTAGAGAAACATTTTTATACCCGACACCACCATAGTGGGGAGGGTATTATACGTTTGTGCTGATGTTTGTAACGCACAAAAATATTGGTTCTATATCCACCTTAAAGTATACCGATCGACTTAGAATCACTTTCTGAGTCGATTAAGCCATGTCCGTCCGTCCGGCTGGCTGGCTGTTCATGTAAAATTTGTGCGCAAGGTACAGGTCGAAATTTTCAAGATATTTTGATTAAATTTCAACCAATTTTCATAATTATCGGACTTTATTTGACCCTAGCCCCCATACAAAGTCCCCTTCAGAAAATGACTTGAAGGTCAATAATTCACTAATAAACACTAGTATCACGATAAAATCCATCATATATAACTCTAATGTAAACGTAAAGCAATGTACCAAAATTTATAAGGATAGGTCCATATTTACCTTTGCCCCCATATAACCTCTCTTTTAGAAAATCACTTTTTTCAACAAATTGTTAAAATATTTCGCAATTACGGTAAACAACTTAAATGCTTTATTATTAAATATAATCCACATTTTTAACATACTCAGTGGTATAGGGTATCATATGGTCGGCCATGCCCGACTATACTTTCCTACTTGTTTTCTTATAGAGAATTCGAAAAAAAAAACTATTCATTTCAAGAATTTCTATAGATTAATTTCACTCTTTGTAAAAATGCTGACTTTGTAAAGAATTTACTAGTTTCTAAGAGAATATTCTATAAATTCTCATTTCATACAAAATGTTCGAGCAGATTTTCTCTTTATTGAGAATTTTAGTTAATTTCTACCTTTATAGAGAATTTTCAATAAATTATCTTTCCATGAAAAATCGATAAATTTTATTTTATGCAATAAATTTAGATATTTTCTCTTTTATAGAGGATTTTAGAAAAAAATTTATAAATTTTCCTTTTTGAATCTTTTTTAGCTAAAATCTTCTTTTTTTAGAGAACTTTGAACAAGATATATCTTAATAATGAAATATCGATAAATTCTACCATTGTAGAGAATTTTCAATAAATGTTTTTCTCTTTTTTCATTAAAATATTTCTTAAATTTTAAATACTTAACTATAAACATAACTTAAGTTACTACTAATTAAAAAAACATATCCACAAAAATACTAATTAAAACAAAATCTTTGTTATAAAACCTAAAATCTTTCTATTATTAATTTACAAACAAAGACCTTTTCATTTTAACCGAAAAAAAACTTCTTTGTCTTGCAGACATTGAAATACCATCTCATTTACTTTTATTTCGACCATTATTCATAACCTTTTTTGTGTTATTAATATTAATATTTTTGTAATTATAATATTTCTTTATTTTTTTATTTAATTTTATACATATATAAAACCCCTACATTAATATATGCAAGTATAATGCGAAAACATTATGGAAATAGTATTTAAAACCACAAAAATAAAAAAAGAACAAATATAAACATACAGATAGAACTGAGAGATAAACATCCCTTAAGTATTAACGTGTATTTATAATAAAATAAATTTGATTTACTAAACATATTACTTATGATATGATGTGGTTTAACACACACTCACGTATCCTTGTAGGAATTTTAAGTGTATACAAGCAGTATCTAAACATAAACCCAAAGAGCTCTTGATATGGGCTGGCTTAAGGTCTGTGTGTAAAAAAACTTATGGGTTTTTTCATATATATGTTAAAATAATGATTAAATGATTAGAAAACCTATTAAAAGAACTAATTAATGTTTCTTTGTAATTTTTCTATTTAAATTTAACAAAATGTTTAAATTACTGTTTTCCAAAATATGCTTATTCGTGGAGTAGCCCATTTGTTTGCCTCTTAAAAATATGATAAAAGCAATTATATTTATTTTTTTTTGCTCTTTTTTTCTTACCTTAGTGTTTATATCATTAATATATCTATTTATATACTAATGTCTGTTGTGAATTCTAAAGAAGGTATGAGTAGCATATGTAAACGTATATTACTCCTATGAGACAAGCATCCTGGCAAAAACAAGACAGAAATCTACAAATTATGATGAAAATCTTTTTTGTTTTAATATAAAAATAAGTCTGGCGTTTAAGTAGTTTATACCCAAAGTGCGTCTTTATCTCTTGTAAATCTTAATAAGTTTTTTTTATATTTATAATTATGAAAAAAATAAGCACATCTCTTGGTAGAATACTTTTGAAAGTCATTTTGATAAAGGATAAAATATTATTATGTAGTTCGTTAAACTTATAGGAGTATCATTGTTTGCTATAACCTCGGTTAACGTCAAGTAGAGTCAATGAGACTCCATTTGATCGGACCACTCCATGTAGTATTGTATAGTATCCAGCTAGGATCCAGGATCCAGCCTGTAGCCGTGAGAAATCTCAGGATATAATTAGGTTTAGACCCATATATCTCTCGAAGATATGAAGTAACTGCCAAGAAAACAGTTTCTCTTGAAGGGGGACCACAATAATTAGGCCCCTTTACATGTGTCCATGTTAGTCCACCTATTTTCAGCCTTTTGAAGAAAGAAACGGCGTTGGAAATATCAAAAGCAGATACCGTTATGGCAAGCTCATCTACTTCTTCATTTCCATAATAGACTCTATGCGTAGTGACCCAAACAAGGGTTATGTCAGACAGGCGACCCAGCCATGAAAGATCCTTTTTGCATTGTCTAACTAATAGGGAAGTGGTAGTATAAGACTTTAATTTGAGAAGTGCCGCTTGACTATCGACCAAAAGTTTTTATGTTGCCGCGAATATTGAGGTCATGTAGTACCCAACAGGCTGACATTATAGCAAATATTTCAGTCTGAAAAACACTACAGTTGTTGGAAAGACGTAAAGATATACCCAGCTTCTTCACAGAAGACACCAGAACCAACACCGCAGTTCATTTTAGAAACATCTGTAAAGATTCTGGTCGTATATTCGCTAAACCTCTTGCTCCTGGAAGGAACTCTGACCTTGAAAACTCTATCAAAATCCGTGGGTGGTGTAATATAGTCGGATAGTTGGTTCATGATTGGAGGTAATAGGCTTAAAATCTTAGCGGTTTTATATGTTCTTGATCTCCAACTTCTGAGTAAAGAACTGAGAAGAAGAAGAACTGAGAAGAACTAGTTCTTAAGGCACCTGTTATCCCAATGCATGCTGATGTCTGAACTTTGTCTTCTTAGTTGAAGTCCACCATACAAGATAACCGTATACTTATATAGGACGTGCGAAGTATAGCTGTGTACTATGTTGGGACTAATACCCCAATTGTTTCCAAACATCTTGCGACAGGTATAGTAGGCGACCGTTGCCTTCTTGCTTCTGTGCTGGATGTTGAGTTTGGAGTGATAATTTGGAGTTTGGAATAATTCCTAGATATTTGGCATTGTTTGATAAGTGGATTTCACAGTTCTTTAAAGCGGCAAGTTAAAGCTTGGAATCTTGATATTTGTTGTGAATAGTACCAGTTCAGTCATTGCTTGGGTTTACTTCTAGGCCACTTTCTGTGGCCCAGTTATTGAGTAGCACCAAAGCATTAGACATAATATTGCGCCTGGGAACATTCTGATACCAATATCACAACATTGTCCGCGTAAGCAACGTCTTTTATCCCTTTGTTGTCAAGTTCGTTAACAACGATGAGACAAAGTAATTATGCCGGCGTTATTTAAATATACATGACATTCATATTATTCATATTTATAATTCCGCGAGATTAAATAATTACAACAAATTCCAATTTTAGTATGATTTGTATTAATAAATAAATTTAATAAAGTTGATACGTTCATAAGATTAGTAGAAAACATTAAAATGCACATTATTCGTAAAATGTAAAAAATATAATATATTAAAATCAGATCACTTCAATGCTGCAGCTGGAATTTTATCCCTGGATCTGCTGTGGTGCTGGAGCAGCAACTTACAAAGTCTGTTGCCAACCAAATTGATTGCGAATGAATGTATCAAGGGCAGCTGTATCAATACCATTTGCTTGCAATTTACGAATTAAACGTTGTGCCTCCGGCAAGGCAATAACACGATCATAAACAGGCTTCAAATCTCTAACGCGTTGAACAAACTGAGCAAAAATTCCATTTTGAGCAACTTTCGATTGAACATGCGTACGTATCATATCCTCAGGATAGTAAAGAAGAAATTCATTAACAAATCCCTGCCAACCGTAAACATTTTGAGACCAGAATGGAGAACGATTGATAATTCTCAAAGATTCATTAGATTCATCTGATTCCAAGTCCACAGCTGACAACATTATTTGGCTACGTATCCAGGATGTAAGACGCATAACTTCGGGTTGAGAACGGAAACGCATTTGTGTCATATAACCATCGTGAGAGTTAATAAGGCGTACGAATGTTTGAAATTGTGCATCGTTGAGCAGATAACGTATGGCCAATTGCTGTATGGGTTTTGTGGGAATTAAACGCTTAATTTCATCCAAATCCTGAGCCAAAGTGTTAAGAGGTACTGCTGTCGGTATAACAACAGGATTGTTGTGTGGTGTTACCACAGCCTTTCCACCACCCAAGGCACAAATGCCAATTAATGCAAAGATCAGTAGAATTCTCATATTTTTAATAACGGGTATTTGAATCAGTGGTAATTGTTCGTTTTACTTTCACTTAAAAGAATGTTAATAATTTTACTGGATTTTAAAGCTTTATATACTGCCAGCTACGCTTCGTTGAGTTCTTATCTAACATATTATCTAGTTTTCAATCAAATGAATAAGTACATCTTCTTAATAATTCATTTATCTTTTTACATAACAAATGTCTGTGGTCTCCTAAATCTTTTAAAAATGTCTCTTCCAATCCTTAAGTAAATTTTGTTAAGTTGTTATTGTAAATCTTTAAAGTGAAGATAGTATATTATTTTATATTTAGGTATGTCTCTTAAATATTTATTACTTTCATATTTTTCTGCTATGATTCATCGTTAGATAATTTTATTTTTTCCCGTTAAAGTAGAATAGTTGGGTTGAACGATAAACACAAGTTTTGACGTCAACAGTATGAGAGTAGCAACAAAAACTTTTGTATCACATTATCTTGACAAGATAAAATACATAAATAGACCAGAATGTAATTATTGCTTCTATTCACACATTGATCGTGTGAATTTATAGCCTTGTTTAACAAATTTGTCAAAAGAAGTCAAAAGTGTATAGTATATGTTATCATTTGAAATTTACAACATATGACCTACCGCAAGATTTAATTATATTAGAGATTATTTTCACTTTTCTGAAATGTTAAAATCGTTCTTTCTGATGTATGATTGTGGTATAAACATATTATGGTTGTTGTTACTATTTTAAAATATTTTATTACAATCAAATACAGTTGCAATAGTTCATCAAAATAGTTTCCCATTTCTCGTAACATTTGTCATACATTATCATATTATGGTCGAGACTTATCATAATATGATCCAAACTTTCTGCAAAATTTCGTATAAAAAATAAATATCGAAATCAAAATAAATAAGTAAAACTACAATTTCTAAAACAAAGTAGAAAAAATAATATGAATAAAAATAATATACTTACAATACTTGGTACAAATTGCAAATTTGCTGAAAGGAAATCTATCAATTTCCAAGAATTGGAGCTAAAATCCCCAAAAAAGTATTTTTTTAATTTTACCCATAGGATCCACATTTCTTTCGGGTTTCAGAAAATACTTTGGGCATAAATAGGGAATACATCAATGCTTCCAAAACTGCTTTTAGTTTTCTGATCCCAGCTTTTTATAACATGTATCCCAAAGTTGAAATTTTGATAAAAAATTGGTCAAATTCGAAAGAGCGTAGGAGCGAGAAATTAAAAAAAATGGATATATTTTTTATACAAAGATATTTCCCACAAAGATACCTTTCAGAAAAACATAAAATTGTTATATATCTTTAAAGAAAAAGAATCTAGGCACCTTTTGCCGCAAAAACTGGTCAAAATCTACCATTTTTTTAAGTTCTCAATTGATAATGGTTTATTTTTGGATCCATTTTATCGTCATAAAATTTTTGTAATTTAGTTTGGTAATTCAGTTATCATCATTTGGTTCAAAATTACGTCCTATTTTTGGAAAAGAGTGGATCAAGATATGGGTAAATTTTTAAATTTAAATTTTCAAATACCTATAATTCAGAAATTATAAGAGGAAAATAGCAAATGGAAGCATAGCTTTTTTAAGACCTAGCTTAGCACTTTCCAAATATATAAAACTGTTTGATATCGGAAGGGAAACCAAAAAAAAAAACATGCGATTAAAAATTTTACATATCGAGGCCCCACATCGCCGCCCATAGAACATTTGTGGGATGCATTTTCATATCCCATGTCATTTAGAAATGCCAGATTTATTTCCAAAAAAATTCCATTCTACCCCACTGTGCGTTGACAAGGACAAGTTCTTTATAAACAAAATTTCATATCGGTCCATAATTGGCCCTTTCCCGCATATAACTCTTCTAATAAAAAAATTTATTATCAATAACATACAAATTCGTCATCCTCTCAAAACTAAAGATTTTGGTCTACAAATGACATAAGTTCCCTTAAAACGTCTTCTTCCGAATATTATCTATCATCTTGTTTATATTAATATCGGTATAGTACATCGTTTTGATGGTGGGTCTTTAATAGTCGAATATAAAATCTATTTTTATTTATTTAAAATGATTCTATTTAAAAATAAATTATTTTTATTTATTAATTTTTTCTCTATTTCTTTTATTTACAGGTAATTATTTGTTTAAACTACTTCCTGTATGTTGCAAAAGTGTATTCAATAATACAATTGAAAATATGTATATTTATTACAAACATATTTTTTCCGTTGTTGTAACAATTTAACAATAATGGTAAGTGAAACCAGAAAATAACTCAATTCTTTAGTTTTTTTTTCGCAAACAAAGCACAGATTATAATTTGTGCATTTAGTGTGTTAAATCATGATAATGACTTTAACAAGCACGCAAGATATTGCGAATTTTTTAAATGAAAACAAACTGCAAAAAAAATGAAGAAAACCTACAAAGTACTAGAATACGTTGAAGCGAATTTAAAATGAGCTACACAAATTATAAAATAAATTTTAACTAAAATAATATAAACCAACGAATTTTTGGTTTAAAACTGTAACACAGAGATAGACGTTCCAAAATGAAATAGATAAAGTCGGCTTTGTTTGTTGTAATTTTTATGATTCTATATTGTATGTATGTATGTATGTGTATATATTGAAACAACACACAGCAATATACCCATTTATTCAGTCATTGCGAGGAAAAATGAGCATCCGTTTGTAGCAATAAAACAAATTGAATTTAATTGACTGCAAAATGTATGAAAACTATTGCACTATTTATTTGTTGCTTTATATTGTTATACTTGTTGTTTTATTTATTCATATTTGTTGTAGTACTTATGTAGAACATAAAAACATCAACAGCAAGGCAAACAAAAAATCCATTGGCAATAGTAAAAACAAATTATTTTAACACATGCGAACAACAGCAATAGATACGACAACAACTACAGTCTACTAATGCACTCAGAGAAAAAATATGATTGTTCAAGTTCTTCAACAATATTATTATCAGAATTGTAGCATTTTTTCTTATCACAGCCAACATTATGTTAGTTTTATCATTGAACTGTCTAATGTATTTGTAGCAATCATATTTATGATTAAAGATTATTAACAATAAGTATTTTATTATGATTATCATAATTTTACAACAACATATTACAACTGTATTAATCAGGAGAATGAAATGGTTGTAACAATTAACATATGTATTTATATACATACATTTGTATATATGTATTATCTTCAACAGTGTTGTACTTGTAATCATATTAAAATGATTGCCGTAAACATATTGCGATATATTTTTCTCCGCGTGTATGTATACAATAAAGTATTGTTGTTATAAAAAATTGAATAAAAATAATTGTTTTTAAAAAATATATGTATATAGCCGATGGTATGTTTAAATGTATGAGCATGTTTACGTTTAACAAAATGCATAAAAATGAAATATTTAGAGCAACAAATTTTTAAATTGTTTTATGTTTAAAACGGACATGACGATGATGACTACAATGTTTTCAAATTCAGCGAAAAAAACAATAGAATAGTAAAGAAGACACAAATTAAATGCATTTGTAATAGCGATTTGTAGTTGTTCATTAAACAACTACAGAAAATGTTAGATTGATGGAACAGTTGTTTTGAAAAAAACAGGGGTATTAAGAAGATCAAGAAAAATTCGTCTTTTAATTGGCAAGAAAATTATATGAAATTAAACTAATTACTTAATTGATGCTTCCACAACTACATTATGTTCTTTGTAACAATATTTGGCTTTCGCAAACAAATTATCATATTTGATGTCATATTATGATCATACCATTGTATGTGTTTGTAATGGAGAAATCATATGATGATAACGCACGGTCATAATATGATTACTTTGGATCACTATATGATTGCTTTTTATCATAATTTGATTATTTTCGACCATAATAATGATTACTTTGCATCATAATATGGTTACTTTTTGAGTTCAACTACAATTATAGTATTAAGTTATTGTAATACAAGTAGGAGCGTATAGTCGGACATGACCGACTATATTATACCCTACACCATGGGTATATTATAAAAATTATTTATTTTCCATCAAAAATTTTTTGAATTTTACCTTAATTCCGATGTATTTAAGCAAGAGGAGGAAGAGGGATGTAATTTTATATAAGGGTTAGTTATGCTGAATTTCATCACGATACTAATGATTATAAGTAATTTTTGGACGTTTACGATATTTTTTAAAGGGGGTTTGTAGGGTCAAACGACGGCCGATCATTATACACAAATTATTATACAAAACTTAGTTGTGCCAATTTTTGGTGAGATAATAAAGACCCATAATCGGAAGGTCAGGTTGTATGGGGGCTAGGTGAAATAATGGACCGATTTCAACCTTTTTCAATAGACATCGTCCCGAAAAACTCGTATGGTCCATATTTTATCCAAATATCTTTAAAATTGTGGCCTGCAGCTTGCGCACAAGGTTAATATGGACAGGTAGCCGGACAGACGAACGGACATGTCTTAATCGACTCAGAAAGTGATTCTGAGCCGATCGGTATACTTTAAGGTGTGATGGACCAATATTTTTATGTGTTACAAACATCAGCACAAACGTATAATACACTCCCCACTACTACAGTGGTGTAGGGTATAAATATTTCAAGTAAAAGTGAAGCATTAATATTCCATCCGTTCAAAAGTTATAAGGAAAAATGCACAAATCATATTTATATAGATATACAAAATTTTTAAACTCAGCACGCAACTCAAAACTCACTTTTTCGACTTAGAATGTTTTATTTTGTAGGCGTTCGTATATCACTTTTAAAGTAAAGCTTTAATAATCACTCTTTATCTTAACTTATGCTAGATTATTGTGAAGACTGTTTTGATTACCTTAAAACCTGAATACCCTTACTTTCCATAAGCAGTTACAGAAATTTGTTTATTGCTATTGTTACTGCCAAACCATGCAAGTGTAACACATTCGTTTCTTTTTTTTTTCTATTTCTAAATGCGTAAATATTTACT